CATATATTGCTAGCTGCAGAATGGCCAAACATTTTAAATATTATTGACTGAGGCAGTTATGTACCTATATTTACTATACAGTATTTTCTCTGAAAAGTAATATTCTAAGTATTGCAGCAAATTTAATCTGCTCTTGAATGTCCAAGGAACATTAAACAAGGACTTAAGTAATTTTTAAATGAAATTGTAATAAAGTTAAATTTTAGAAGTTCTATAGGATTAAAGAATGAAGGATGAAACACAGTTCATAGCTTCTAAGAAACTTTTAATAATCTCCAAAATTCTATAAGTAAAAATAGATAAATGAACAGATGAATGCAATTTCAAAAACTTCTCCCCAAAACCAATTTTCATGTTCTAGAAGAGTATTTTGTTTTCATTTTTCAAGTGATAGAAATATTTTAATCCTAGGGGTATTATTTTTAGAGTATATGCAATTTCCTGTAAATACCATATGCCTAATAGATATTTGGTATATACAGCTGAACGTGTTAACCACCCCCACCAAAAAAAATGCTTGTTTGTATAGTTCTTTAGATCTCACTTATTTTGGGATAAAACTAAAATAACTAAAATAGCAGTGAATCTCTTTAAAAAAATACCTATTAGTCATTGACTCGATCTTGATTTCAGAGCTAAGACATCTGGACAGTCATGAGATACACTGATAAGTGGCATGGGTGTGAGAAGAAATGAGAAATATATCATCAGTCAATTACAGCATATTCAAGGAAGAGATGGAGATTGTGAGTAAACACGGAAGCCAGAGATCTAAGCAATACATATTATTTCCATATGTTGCTCAGAAGGATCAAACAAGTAAAAAGCAATACATGAACAATATACAAAATTATTCAGGAGTAGAGAGTTAAAGTAAACTGAAAACATGATTATAGGAATACATAACTTTGTTTTAAATTGCTTAGGATAATACTTCTAGCAATGCAAGTGCTATCTGTGTTTGAAGCAAAGTAGAATTCATTATTCAAGTCATTTCCAACAGAAAATATACAAGTGGAGTCAGAGGAGTCACAAGTGACTCGGTGAGTAGTTTGACTCATTTTATAGGAGACGATCGCATTGATTGCACTGAACTGACTAAACCTTGTGCGGTGACTTAATGCACCTCATAATGTGTAGTGTTCTTGTTCTTTTGGTTTGGTCTATCTTCTTCTAGGACTATTGTGTACCTTGTCTTGTCTCATAAAATTCAATCTAATAATTTTCTAGTTCTTGATTCTTGCTTTGTCATCAACATTTTGATTGCTTAACGGAATTTTCCACCTTGCTATGACGAAAGGATTCTACTTTTTACCTAGATTTTCAATCATTTCATTCCCTCTCTTCTTCAGTTAAAGTATACCCATACAAATGTGATTTTATGTCCAGATACATTATGCTCTTATATTTACAGTTATATGTAACATATTTTTCTCATACTTTAAGTGCTATTTTATCCATATTTTAAATTGATTATTAGACCAAACAGACTCATATATGGAAGAAGAGGATGACGATGAAGAAGAAAAACGAGTGCAAAACGCAATAAGGAAACTTGCAGCATCAAGGAAAATTTTTTATGAAATTTTAAAGGGGATAAAGTTTTTAAAACTATCCATTACACCATTCTTAAAATGCAATTTAAGAAATGGAGGAAGAATAAGAAAGAGTAGTAGTAATAGCTTGCTGAGATCCTTTAAAATACATAGAAAAATGAACTAAAAATTTGAATATGAAAAGCTGCTTATTTCAAAATGCATATTGAAAATAAAGTGTTGCAACTGTTTTTGTCAATGTAGATATTTCTCTAGCTCTGTGTATCAAAGGAAGCTAAATGACACTGGCTTTAAGTGTTGTTTAGAGGTACAAATACTGTGACAGCCACCCTGTACACTAACAAGAGCTCAAGAGTGCCACTGAATAAGCTACTAGAAAACGTTAAGCTATGGCCATTGTGTTTCTCTCTCTTTTTTTTCTCTTTATAACAAAATGTTTTGTATAGAAGCTGTCCACCTAGAAGTCAGAGTGAACTTCAAAAGAATTTTGTTGTTCTGTCAAACACTTTTTATGCAGTATAGTTATTGTTTTGAGTTGTTTATTCCACTATTAAATGGAACGTGTTAAGTGGAACTGAAGATAATACTGGAGATAATACTCTATGATATTGATTATCAACATAAGTCATTTTAAACTGGATCCGCCAATATGTTAAAAAGATTAGAGCAAAATAGAGAGAGAGAGAGAAATAAAGAGACAGAGACAAAAAGAAAGACAGGTAAAGAATAGAGAAAGAAAAATGGAGAGAAGTTTAGAAAGGAAACAATTTCTACAAATAAAATTTTTAAATGACACATTTAAATAGGGGGAAATATAAATAACTAGGTGGCACCCTAAATAAAATAGGCCCAAATTCTGCCAAAAAATAATAATTCTTAGTTTACACGTTATCCATTCCTGGTGGCCACATGAAACTCAATATACTTTTTAAACCTTCAGTAAGAAAACAGAGGATGTGCAATTTATTCTGCCTGTGGAAAGAGGAATTATAACTCATTATTTAGCAATTCACAATTAAGTAGTGTTCTTTCTTAAGAACAACTACACATTAAACCAAGGGAAACTTTATGGCAAATATTGATTTTATAATCTATCAATAACTTTCTTGAGAAAAATTTCGCAAAACAAATCTTAGTCATTTTGCGCCAGGACCAAAATTTGAGGAGATGAACAGATGTTATTCATGTGAAATGTACCTATTGATATTTTTCAAATTAGAAATTAAAACTAAAGAGTTGAAAAATACTTACTTCTAAAATAATCTTATTACATGCTAAGACTGAGTAATATTTAAAATAAACGATTTCCAAACAAAACAAAATGAATAGAATGTCATTGTTTTATGAGCTTTCAAATCTTATATAACATCTTGCTTAACACAAGACAATTGATTTCTCATATCTTTTTCTACATGCAATCTGTAGTAATATATCATTTTGGTTGATGTAAAGAAAATTCAATCTTGCATTCTTAATTAGAAATATAATCATCGATAGCACTGCCAAAATAACAAACGTTAATTTCTTAAAGTTTTTTTTTTAAATTTGAAATCTAATTAATTAGCAGATTCATTTTACTCTTGGAAATCCATCAATTTAGCTTAGATTTTGCCCACATCTTTTCCACATACATGATTTTTATATCATAAAATAGTGGATTTTGGGAGACATTTTTGATAATTTAGGCAGATCTTCAAAGTTTTGATTCACTTCATTATACAGTAGCAAAATGTCATATTTTTTCTATCCAATTTCACCAATAAAGTATTTGAGTATCTTGATAATTTGTAGTCCCCAGTGACTAACACAAATATTTCAAATTCTAATTTTCAATTGAAGTTCTAAATTTCCTCATTAAAAATATTTTAATTGTTGCTATTGGAGTTATAGGTCTTCATGCATTGTTGAGTAAACAGTATGAAAGGCCAAATATTCATATATACATAACCACAGGTTGTTAGATTTTTCATTGCCAAGTAAAACTGATTTTTCATTTAAGAGCATCTAGATTAGTTATTACCATATTCAATTGCATGAGCATTTTTCCTTGAGACAGCTCTCTACTTTAGTGCTTTACCTATATTTCTAATGTGGCACAGAAAATATAAAGACAAGTAATCAAATATTGAGTTGCAATAAAATTAGTAAAATTTATTTTCAAGGATAATCATAAGGAAATCAGATTTCTATAACAAATATGTGGAAATGAAGAAATACAATAATATTAGTATCATTTGGGGCTACTGCCTTGCTTTGAGCTAATTTGCCAACAAGTTTATTTATAATTGCTGTCAGAATTTTAGTGAAATTACCAACACAATAAAAAAAGCAAGTGCAGGTTGATATTAGCATGAGAATAACTTGGACCTTAAAGACATTCTGAAAAGATAGAACAACTCCTAGAAGTATACCAATCATCCCTTGATGCCCAATATCTTAGTGAAATTAAAATTCCAAAAAATATAGGTTTCAAAGGACAAATATGCAGTATCTTCAAGCACTTAGAAGGATGATAATCAGATTCATATTTTCTCTTTTTAACAAATTGTGAAGACTGTGCAGTGAGAAGAATAGGGCTAAAGTAAAAGCAACCATGCCTTTTCTTTGCCATTTAGTTAACGATAACACAAACTACACTGAGGCTGTTCTAAGAGTCTCTTTTCAGACTTTCCTTCATCTTCATCAATGCTGCAATCAATGTAGTTGTATAATATACACTTAATAAGTTTATTAACTAAAAACACTGATCATGTATTAATCTATATTTTATGATTTTTACATTGATTAATTTGTATTATGCATTTGTATTTTATATTAAGATGAATAGCTGAATAATTTGAGGTTTTGTCTTACAACTTTTCAACCATATGACCTTGTAAACTCATCATTTTAATTTCTCAGTATCTGTGTGGGTAAAGTAAGGATCTTGTGGATGTCACCATCATAAAGCTTGGTGAAGATTCTCATCTCACTTCCTTAACATGAGAATATCTTTATTATTAGATACTAATATATCTACTCCACTGACTACCAAAATCATCTTATGGCATTAGTTTGCTTTTATTTCCTAAATGTTTTTTTATAAAAAATTTAAAAACTGTGAAATAGTTCATTCTACTCATGCATCTCTCCTACCGTTATTTAAAAAGAAAAAAAAAAGAGAGAAGGGAGGGGGAGGAAAAGGGAGGGAGAAGACTCCTTTTAGGAGTTCAGATGGAATTTATTACAAGATTTACTATAAAAACAATGGAGAAGCTAAGTGAGTAAATGGGCTGAGAAAGCCACATACTGTTAATGACAGAAAATAGCTCTTACCTTTAACAATGAGAGAAAAAACAAAAGAAAGGAGATGGTTTTAAGAGAAACCACACGATCCAAGAAGTGCTCCTCTGGTGAGCAGCATTATGCTTTGACTACGGCAGGAAAAGGACTATAGTTGCTGTACTTCCCTAAGTAGTCTTATTTTAAGCAGTATTTCTGCCTAGCATTGTTCAATTACAAATATGTTCTTCTTATGAGGTGCTGCAAAAACATTTATGTGAGACCTTTCAATCACTTTGTTTTGAAAATGCTTATAAAAACACTTAGGGGCATCACAGTAAATTTCTAGAAAAGGCACATTATGGGGTGTGTAATGCCCACGTTTATTTTTTTAGGTATATTTCTATTGATGAATTGTTAATTTTATGGGTTTTATTACATTACACTATGTGTACTTAACAAGAAAATAAAATATCAATAAAATATTAAATTTGTAATATGTATTGAATTGTGTGGAATAAACATCAACTCTTTACCTGCTTATAAGATCTAAAAAGTAACAGTAGAAATAAATTCTTATGTGATCTACAGTGAAAATACAAACAATACTCTAACATGGAAATAATCTGTGCGTCAATTATCACACCTAAGCTAGTCTTCACACATGACAGTAGCATGTTCCATACACAAGTACCACTCACACTGACAGGACATGGGCTCAGCTTTCCTTTCCTGTTTCGTAGGCCATACTTGTCATCTCTCTTTTGTCTAGAGCTTACTATTATATTATATAATGTACCTCCCAGGAAAATGAAATATCAATAAAATAAAATAAAATACCAAATATGTAACAAGTGTATAAAATAAATATCAACATTTTCTACATAAACTATTTTTTTGCCTCCTAAATCTAAAAAAACAGCAACAGAAATAAATTCTTATCTGGACTACAATAAGAATACAAGCAAAACACTAGCAGGAAAATAGCATTTACTTCAATTATCATACCTAAGGCAGCTTTCCCACACAAAAATAGCATGTTCCATATGTAACTTCCATTTATACTGATAGGACACGTGTTTTGCTTTCCCCTCTTCTCTGTAGGATATATTTAACACCTTGCTGGTCTTCCTGTTTTTGTAGGAGGTTCTTGTGTTGTTTTCACCTGTCTCTTCACCAGTCTTCTCCAAAACTCTTCTCAGAGTTTTTCGGACAGATACATGTTGTTCTTCCTCTGTTGTAATTGATCCTTTATCAATTTCAGTTCCAATCCTCTAAGAAAATTTCTATGTGATATTTTGTGCTTGTTATTTTCTTTGTAAACTAGGAAATGATATGTGCCTGACATGTTTAGGCTCCAGTAAAACACAACCATTGAC